TGTTCACGCATTGATATGATTTATTGTAAAACAAAACAAAAAAATTGAAACAAAAAATAGAATACGTACTGAAGGAAACAATTTAAGATTGTTTATCTGGGTCACAAATAATGGCACATCTGATCTACATTTTTATATTTTTATGAGGTACTAGTTAGTAATAATTTGTAGATATATATATATCAACTTTCTCTATAAATTATCTCTAGATAAGACTCAAAAGCTGCTTTCAAATCACCGAAGGTGACATAGCGAGGTCTACATGAGAGACCAGAACCAATTAGAAAATTTCCATTAAAGTTTCTATTATATAACTTACTACTACTCGATACTGACCCAAAATTGGACAGGCTGGTCCTTATTGCATAATTGGCTCCTTAATTGCACTAGTGTATTTGAGCTGGGAAGCTGTCATATTAAACAATGGGAAAGTAGCACTTGCAAGCTCACTAGTTCACTTAATTTGGAATTCTCAACGAGAGCAATTCTGACCCCACATTTAAGCATGTACAATGTCTAGTAATGTACTGGAAGCTAAACTCACAATAAGAGCAATATTATCAGGATTAAAAGCTACTTTAAAAGCAACAAAATTGGTAGAAAGAGATGAGGGTATTATCGTACTAGCACCTCTCTCATCCATTAACTTCTCCAATTTGAATCAACCAGCCAATCAAATTTCATGGATAATTGTACCAACCTTCATACCTCTCCACTGTTTTCTTTGTCTACCAGCAGGGTCTAATTTGGGATAATCTGTTGGATTTAGGGACAGTATTATTAAAATGAAAGATCTGTCATCAGGGCCTTGTCTAGGATTAAAACTGACTTCTATACTCATAGTGTTTAGGGCCTATATTAAGCAATTTTCAAACAAATCTCATTTGTCCTAATTTGAGATGACAATATATTGGGGAAACTTAAGCATGTATTAATAAAATGTTTTTCCTTTTTAGTCAAACAGTTGCACAAAAAGTGTTTGGAAATGACTGGATGCAATTTAGTTAAGCAGGGCATTCAGAAATCCAGGGGAATATTTTTCCCTAGATGTAATGGCGTATAAGAATAACCCTGAAAAAATAGGAGTAAGAGTTGCAACCAAGGCAACAATCATATAAAAACAAATGTTAGTCTAAAGCAGAAAAGTAATTTAGAGAAAATGTCTCAAAATGAACCATCCCTAGTTTCTTAAAGATAAAGGCAGGAGAGAGTAAATGCGTTAGTCTTAGAAGATTCTGTTATTATAGATCTATAATAATGAGTTGCTTCAAAATGAAATGGGTGACAAATAAAATTGATAAATATAATAATAAAATAAAAGTAGTATTAACAGTCATAATTTTAGTTTTCTAGTCTGGTCTATGCTGAAGGGCTGACTTCGAAGGGGACAGCAATTGAAAAGACTTGTCTCTATGATCCTTGAAAATGGCAGTTTATGGGTAAGTAGATAATCGATGAGCAAAGAAACTAAGATGGTGAGCAAGACCACCCTGATTATATTATGTGGACAGGACTATTGCGATAAACCAAATCCTGAACCATAAAGAATTGCCTACTAACATCAAAAGGGAAAGCTACTGAATAAAAATAGAAGGAAGGTTTGTTGGATATGTTCACCGCCTTGAGTTATTTGTAAAAATAGACAAACAAATAAATAAAAATACTGTATATAAATATCGAGCAATCCTCTTCTAGCACTGAAGATGTTACTTAATTAGTTAATAAAATTTCTGCAAGAAAACAACCAAGCCTAGAGAAAACCAAGGATTCTAACTATCACCTTGAATGGCACTCAAAGTCAGATGACGATCAATGTAACTCTCAAAATGGTGGTGTTATGTAAACAAAGGGTCAATAATAAAATAACAGAGTTGGGAGGGATGTTGGAGGTCTTCTAGTCCAACTACATGCTCAAGCAGGAGACCCTATACTATTTAAGACAAATGGTTGTCCAGTTTCTTCTTAAAAATCTCCAGTGTTGGATCACACAACTTCTGTAAGCAAGTCGTTCCACTTATTAATTGTTCTGTCAGGAAATTTCTCCTTTGTTCAAGATTGCTTCCCTCCTTGGTTAGTTTCCATCAATTGCTTCTTGTCCTACCATTTGGTGCTTTGGAGAATAGGTTGAACCCCTCCTCTTTGTGGCAACCCCTTAGGATACTGGAACATTGCTGTCATCCTACTCCTTCTTTTCATTGAACTAGACATACCCAATTCCTGCAGACGTTCTTCATATGAAAGTGACCTTAACTATGGAAGACAGTATATTTTTTTAGATAATATTGTTAATAATTTTAATTACAATAGTAAAATCTAAAACTAAAATAATAAAAAAGAGTGAGACAGGTACAAAAGGAAAAATCAGAAAATGGAAAGAATATAATAACAAGAAGAAAAAAGGTGACCTTCAACCTTCAGTACAATTATAAATAATTTCAGTAATTCCTCATTCCCTCTTGGTTTCCAATGGATGACCCATATTCCATCTATTATCTATAGACAAATCCACAAAGCATGATCTTTTCAGTATTGGTAACAGCAGAAAGTTAATTAAGGTTTTTCAGAAATAGCAACGTATTTTATTTTAACTTTGATCAAATAAACCAACTGTGTTTTCTTTTTACTTTAAACAGTCTTAATCTTTAATCCAATCATATAGAATATGTTTTTTTTTTTTTTTTGATTCATTCTTTGGCTCTTTTTCTCAAAGCTTTAACAGTTCTTTTTTGTAAAACCAATACAAAAATTATTCAGGTCACTCTCTTTGTTCATTATTTGTATTTTCCTTTTGATTTTTGAAACATCAACCAGATTATTTTGTTATGTGCAGTGAGACATCCTTTTCCATGTCATGTTCATAGCCTGTCATTTATAGATCCATTTTCAATGCCATCTCTATCATGTCAAATAGAACTTGTTTCTCATCTGCTATTTTTTCCATAACATCTTTTGGACATAGTCTATAGAAACAAACACTGCTATTATTAACACTGTTGATACTAACTTCTGATTCCATTTTTCAAAAGTGTCCTTCAGTACCTTCACTGTTACGTTTTGCATCATTTAATACATCCTGTCAATCAAACCTGTATATTTTTCTCCCCTAATTAAAATATTATTTCTCTCTAGTGTCCCAATTTTTAAAGTTACTTAAAATTAATCAGTTTATAACTTTCAAGGATCAATGTTTTATTTAGCTTTTGCTGTTAATTTCAATTTTTTAAAATACTTAAGCTTATGATTAAAATTTTCTTTCATTAAGAATTGAAGGCAAACTCATCTGGATTTTCACATTTGTTGATATGAAGGTCTCCAATAGCCTAAAAGTAGTTAACGAGCAATTTCCAAATATAATTTCTAAATTCTAAGAGAGCCTTCCAACGTAGTGCTCTTTCAAAGACACTGACCGTGGCTATTCCCATCATCTCCCAGTGCTCAAAATCCGCCAGGGACTGCTGTTTTTCATGTGGGTAATCTATCCTCTTCTTGTCTGAGGAGAATCAGTCCACTCTTTGTTCTTCACTATGGTTATCAGCCCCACTTTTTGCAGAGCCATCTTTAATTTGCACTTCTTCCTGTGGAAGCCCTGATGGCACTGTATTATAGACCAACCATAGCTTCTCATTATTTTACAAGCCAGCCCAATGTAGAGTGCAATGTAATAATAGTATAATCAGTAAAACAGTAAATAAGACATGACTATGATTAGAGCCAATCAATGGAGTTCAATAAGTGTAATTGTACAAAGCTTTGTTGGACGTAACTGTAACCTACTCAATCAACAGAAGCTAAAAAACCAGAAAAATCCCCTTTACAAGTCAGTTCCATAAGAAAGAGTGTGATTTCACCCAGTAGTAAAGATGATAATTCTCTGGAATTGGATAGCTTCCAAACCAAGCATAACCCTGTTTCTCTGTATTCAGATTCTGTCAGCCACTGGATACCAATACAACACTTCAATGGTATTATATGCTTGGCCCAAAGTCAAGATGGAAAAATAAGTATCATCAATATATTGATGATATCAGAATCTGTGTTGTAAGATGGCCTCACCCAGGGCTTCATGAAAAAAATTGAGAGCTTCTTGTAGAAAAGAGCACTGGCCACTATGGTACCCCACAATTAAGGAGCAATGAAATGGACTTGTCCCTTCTTATCACCAATTGGAACCAACAGTCTAAGAAGCAAAACTACTGCAACTCACAGCTTCCCACTCCCAACCATTGGTGAAAGCCCGGAAGGATATAATAATATGGAAAGCCACTAAGAGATAATGCAACACAAGGAGGATTATACTCACACCATAGAGTATCCACACATGCAATTAGTCACTTCTGTACAATTCTGTGCCATTTCCATCCTAAGCCTTTGCAGATTTGTTAAGAGTACTTACAGTCAGGGGTGGGATTCAAATTTCTTAACCAGTTTTGTGGGTGTGGCCTAATTTGTGGGTGTGGCTTGGTCATATGACTGGCTGGGCATGTCTTGTATGTAAATATTATATTTATGTAAATATTGATTTTTTTATAAAAAAAGAACAACTTTTACCCAAAAGCAGGCAAAGCAGGCAGGCAGATTGAGTTGCTCACAGAATCACAGATTCATTCAGAGATCTATCTTTCTACAATTGGCTACCTGAGTCTGTCACATAAAATTTGCTTGCAAGCAAACTCACAAAATTAATTTACAACACACTATGTATGTACATATTGAAATTTTTTATTATAAAAGAGCAACTTTTACCCAAGAACCAATTTTAGAACCAGGCCAAACCGGTAGCATCCCACCCCTGCTTACAGTTATGTAAACTTAACCAAAATCATTAAATTATAAGTTCCAAGTGCTATCATATGCCTAAATGTAAGCACAATAAGCAAAGTAGATTTTGATCCCTTAATAGCAGTAAATCAATACACACAGTGTTCTGTTTTTATCCCAGAAAATCTAGATAGAACTTTAGAAGGCTAATTATATGTGTCTTAACAACCATATATACTCACCAGTAAGTACAGCTTTTGCAGAAGGATCTGCAAGATCTAAAGCTGATTTTCCATCTGTATTCCGAATATTTGGATCAGCTCCATGTTGCAGCAGTACTAAATAAAGAAATAATAATTCTCAAATATTTGGCATATAGAATAAATGCAACTGCCAATAAACACATATACTGATCATGCTGCCAATTTTTTCAATGAAGATCATAATCCAGAAAGCTGCTTTTGTTTAATAGAGTATTCAACTACTGATTGGTTTTTCCTCAAGGGTGAACATCCCTTCTTATATCATGTAACAATTTAGACCCATAAATCTACTATTAGGCTGCAAATTTTCTCTAAACCAATTATGAACAAACAGAAATGACATGAACGTACAGAGCACATTCTCTATCTCCTTTAACTGACATTTGGTGTAAAAGTTTCAAAAAGTATTTTTCCATGAACACATCCATTGTCTAGAAAATATTTACATATAATTTGCTACAAAGTTTTTTGAATAAGCAGATTGTCTGTTACATTGATTCTTCTAAAATATACCAAGCATCATGAACGTGCAGTCATCTCTGTCACTTTGCTAACACAAAATTATCGATTATCCTTAAATAATATTGAAAATTGCTATATTTTCTTTAAAAAGGTATTTGATACTAATAGATAATCATACTTTGTAGTGTTGAAACACTAATAATGCTGATTTTAGGAGCTTAATTTCAATTAAAGCTATATAATATAATTTCTGCAAATAAACTGCAGTTATCTATTTTACTTTATCAAATACTTATATACTTTCAAAAACAAGAAACCCAAACTATTTTTTTAATAAAACAGATAACTGAGAAGTATAATTTTTATCTATTCTTGATCTTCAAACTAAAATGCATGAATATATTCTCTGAATATATATAATAAAATAAAATAAAATAAAATAAAATAAAATAAAATAAAATAATATAGTAAAATTAAGTAATTGGCATCTTTCCTACTTGGAGACAGGTAGTTGTTTATAGCAAAATTAATTTAAAAAACTGAACATATACTGCATAAATATTTCATTATTTCCACTTTAATAACCCCCATTCCTCATATAACATTCTGAGCAGGCTGCATAATCTTGCTTTATTCTTTACTAAATTTACTAATTACTTAACTCAATGTTCCAATTAACAGAAAGCGAAGTAAACCACAGGGAAGCAAATTTTCCTCAATGTGATAACTTGACACTAATATTTATTTAAAACCATTACACTCTTCAGGATATAACTGTAGATTTCAAAGCATCAGTTAAATTACTGTTACAGTATAAATTTTTAACTGATTATGTTTATCAAATAATTGTCTTTTGAAAAAATTCCATATCCAATGTATATCCCACTAAGACTGAGATGGGTGAATTTGGATAATAATAATCTAATTTTTAAACATTCCAAGAATAAAGTATTTCATTCATAGGCCTTTGTAGTAAAAAACATTTCAGGAAGAAGAAGCAGACACTAATTTTTGATGGAAAACAATCTAAATACTTTATATAGGTCAGGGTTTCCAACCCTTGGGTCCTGGCCTGGTACTGGGCTGAGGCCCATTTGGAACCAGGTTGTGGCTCGCGGGTACTTGTGCACGGGTGTAAAAACCCCGTCACACAAATGGAGCTTCATCCGTGTGTGCACACAAGCACCTGCCCCTTGCACAAATGGAGCTGTGCATGCATGTATTAACCCGCCCTTCCACTCTACCGGTCTGCAAAACTGGAAAGGTTGGGGACCACTGATATGGGTAGTCCTCAGGTTATAATGGCAATTGGGATGGGAATTACCATTAATTAGCAATGAAGTCATAAAATGTGATGTCACATGACTGCATCAATTAGAGATGACAATCCTGGCCATTAGCAGAGGAGCTCCGAGTCCTGAAAATCTAGAAATAAGGGGTGTCACAGCCATAAATTTCTTATTTGGTTTTTAGTAAAAACACTGTACATATATTCCATTTTTGGGGACTAGTGCTGTAATTTCATTTATTTACTTAATGCCTTCTCTCTTGGTGACTGTCTGGACAAGTCCCTGTAGTTTTCTTGGCAATACTTTAGAAACAGTTTGCCACTGCCTGCTTCCTAGGGCTCAAAGATGGGCCAAGGTCACCTAATAGGCTTTGAAGGTAAAGTGTGATTAGAATTCCCAGTTTCCAGATTTCTAGCCTGGTGCCTTAAACACTGTAACAAACTGGCTCTCTGATAATTTCGGTTATACATGCAGTATTGATGCAAGATTGATTGATAGAAATTAAATACATATTTTAGAATAAATTAAATACATATTTTAAATAACCTAGAAGCAATGTTACATAATTATTTGAATGATGCACAGCAATGCCAAATTAATCTGGTATACTGTTGGTACATTTGGTACGTTTGTTCTCAGTTTTAATCAATATGCAAAGTTTTTAAGTTTTTATTTTTTTAAAAAAAAATTTGCCTCAGAGAATGATTCAGAGAAATATATGCATTTAATATTGAAAATATTAGTTTTTAAAAAATCTACTTAAATCAATTGCAGACATACAAGGGCAGATTTGAAGATAGAGCAATTTGTTCACAAAGAGGATTCTAACAACACTGAACCCGCTTCTATATGTAGTCAGTCCTTAGTTAATGACAATTTGTTCAGCAACTTTTCAGTGACTATTTAAAGTTATCACAGGGCTGAACAAGATCTATAGTTAGTCCTCAAAATTACAGCCATTGCAACAGTCACACAGAGATGTGATTGCAGTTCAGATGCTTGGCAACCAGCTTTCAATTAGAATTGTTAGTGTCCCATGATCATCATTTGCAACCTTCCCTGTCAGCTTCCAATAAGCAAAGTCAATGGGTAAGCTGGCAAGAAATTACAAATGGTGATTATGTAAAATTTGTGCCTAATATCCATGTGGGACTTTGCCTAAGGATTGGAACTGCCAGGACAGCCATCATCATGTGTTTTTTACAATTGAGTTGTTTAGTGATGGAATTCCAAAATCCAATTACTGTCATTAACAGGAGACTGCCTGTACTATTATATAAAAGAGATACTGTAATTCAATGAAACTTGAGTCTAGATACCACTTTTATAACCTCTCTCTCTCTCTCTCTCTCTCTCACACACACACACACACTTTTTTCTAAAAGCTAATCTTGTCAGAAAGCTTTTCTTCAACAGAAGAATGTTGTGGGGGGAATGGAAGAAAGGAACATTATGCAAGGGAGGGAGGAAGGAATCCAATAATTAATAAAAACATTATAAACTACAGAGATATCATATTGTTCTAATTTAATTGATAGTAGATGACCCCAAGAGTTCAGTCCTCAAACAATTCAACTATCTTCCTGCAGTTGTGTTTCCAAATTGATACTTTTGCTGCGCTTCTACACTTAGAAATATTTTTATTTGTAGCCAGAGATTTATCTTGCTTTAACTTTTTTACTTTTTACCAATATTTCAATACTGTTTTATTACTTTGTGTACAAACAGTATTCCACTGTTATTTTATTATATTGTATTTTATGGTATGTTTTATATTTTATGACCTGTGATTACAATTAAACTTATTTACTGTACTTACTACTTGTTTAGTTTTAGAAGGATTCTGGTTACTTTGGGAAAAAACTGTTAAGTCAAGAATTCAATAATCAATAAAGGAAAGGACAATTATGTATAATATCAAAACTTAACTGATATAGAGGTTAAATTGCAATCAAATATCTATGCACATTACTGTTCAGCATCACAGCCACAAAACCTGCTGAAAACATTATAGAAAGTATTCTTAAAGTTAAAATATGATAAGGGTAGATAGCTATCTCTTACCTTACATTTAGAAAAGTTACAAGTTATTCCCAAATATTCTATGAATCAAATATCAAGATTTTTCAGTCCACAGATGGTAGCATTTTATATTTAAACTGAATTTGGCAGTGCTGAATGTATTCCTTGTTTTGGCTGATTAAGTTTCATTCTATTTTTATTTGTGTATTGCACAGTAAGAATCATGGATTATGAGATATAAAATGCAGTTAACTGATTTGTACAGACTACTCAATGGATTTTCCAAATGAGCTTTGGCTTTGATACTTAACATTTTTTGTAACATAAATAGTTAAGGTGTTTTGAAGAAAGATGTACTTACCAATACACACGTCTATCTTGCCTTTGATTGCAGCTTCATGTAGAGGAGTATAGTTCCAATTGTCTCTGGCATTTGGTTCTGCTCCTTGACACAGCAAAAGGCTAACTACCTCAGCGTGGCCAAAGGAGCAGGCATTGTGAAGAGGTATCAGTCCACCATCATCACGAGCATGGACATTAGCTCCTGTTTGTAACAGGTGCTCCACAACATCCTTTCTTCCAAAGCCTAATGACAAGAAGTTGAATTAATGCAATATAGAATGCATAAATATTACCACTGTATATGGCACTCAGGAGTATAACTCTCTAAAACAAATTTTACTGCATTTATAATTTACTCCGTTGCTAATATACTGCAAATAGTATGGCTCTATTTTGCTTTGTTGGTTTTTAAAAAGTTTAGAAATGCCAATCAAAAAATATTTTTACCTCTTTCTTGCTAAAATCCTTTCACACAGCAAACAGTGTTAAAATATAGAAGATAATCTAATTTACTTTACTTTAATTCAGATCAGAAACTTTCTAGAGTTGTTATTTAAAAATAGCTACATATCAAAGTGCACATCTACAGTAATAACATCCAAACAACTAATAAACAGATTTAAATCTACTTGCTGTGTATCATTGTGTACATCAGAATTCAATTCCTTCAATCAAAATTTCAATAGCAACAATATTAATATTTACATAACACTCAAGCAAGATTATAGGGCAGAGTTGCACAACCCCAAAGAGCCCCTGAAAGTCTTGCATATCCAACTCCAGAAACCTTAAAAACTATTACCAAACTACAGTTTTTATATGATAGAAGGGGGAAATGCCTAAATACTTTATTAGAATAATTATATTATCTACATTTATCTTAATTAAATCTAATTACTTTAAATTAGCTTTGTCCTGGCTTCTCCCACTAGTTTTTGAAGTGTATCCCTTATTCTATTTATAGGCTTAGAAGAGTTGCACATCCAATTCAATTAACTCTGTCATCCTTACTTTACATTTTTTTTAAAATCAATTCATTCCCTTGGATTTTGGACAGTTTCCTTAAAGCTCCCTGACTGACCAGAAAAAAACTTCCATGGGGATGTAAAAAGGGAATAATACACTTCATTCAGGGAAGGAGTGCAAAACTTTTACTGTCAAATTCTTTGCGCAGAATTTTTAAAAAATGTTAGTTAAGCTTCAGCTGTTTGACTATGACTGTTAATTCCTATGAATACCTTATTAGCAGGAAGACAAGTATAAACTGAAATAAAATAAATATTTGTGTATATTTAAGTGTCCTATCAGAGATCGTTTCACTGAAATATTAAAGCAACTTTTAAAAAAGTTGTCACAGAAGATATTCTTGACATTTGATCAATTAGAAGTGGTTGGATCTTATGCGACTTAAGACTGTGGCAAGTACCGTGTTTCTCCAACAATACGACCTCCACCAGTAGGAAGGCCCAGCATGTTTTACTGGCATAAAATCAAATTAAGCCCCTTCCCCCAAATTAAGGCCTATATTAATCATGCGAAATGGGGGGGAATGGCGAGGGGGTGGCTTGCCGTTAGGAAGTACTTTTGTTGCATACCCGGATATGGTGCTGCCTGCGTTGGTGGGGCACTTTGTATCGGGACACCTTCCGCCACCATTGCTTTACCTTCTCCCCGTGCTGCCGCAGCGTTTAGAGCAACGCCGCGGCGTTTGGCGCAGCCATGCGCGGCGAGCCAGGGCTCCTCCCTGTAACCGGAGCCCTGCGGAGACACTTGGCTTCAGGCGCTCCTGTTGCTGCCTTCCCTTTGCCTTCGAAGGTAAAGCCAATTCTTTTAAAAATGACACCCTACTACAATAAAGCCTCCCCTGCCCGAGAGGGCAGCCCAGCCCCACGTGGGGAGGCGAATCTCCCGGGGCCATAGCGCAGGATTGGCCCACCCCGGGAGAAGCACCCAGCCGCCATCCCTGGCTGGCACCGGGCAGAGCGCGAAGAGCTTCTCCTGGGGCGCCCAGCGCAGCTGACAGGTGGGCCCTCCTCTCCGGAGGCAGAGCTCTCGCCAAGGTAGCGAGTGCTTCCCCGCCAGGCCCTCCGCTCATCCCACTAGGGCCGCGCCGAAGCCGTGCGGGCTGGGCAGAGCCGGGAAAGCGAGCCGCGGGTGCGCGCCCGCCTGCCAAGCGAAAGAGCTGGGCTGACCCAAGCTTGGCTTCCTTCCCAAGTCCCTCCAACCCGAAGGGGCCACCGGGAGAGGCTGCCCGAGGCAGTGATAGCGGCCACCCATCCATGGACAGGGAGGCAAGGTGACGTCCTGCGCTGCATCCTCCTCCGAGCTGAGCCCCACCGAGTCAGCGCCTCTGCCTGATGCCCGTTCCGCTGCAGCGTTTGGAGCTGCCGGCACATTTGGAGATATGTGGGGACGGGGACGGGCTGGGCGAGGGGTGGAAAGGACGGGCGGCTTCAGGCTCTCTCCGCCGGCCAGGGAAGCAGTCCTGCCATCACCTCGCCTCCCTGTCCGCGGACGGGTGGGCGCTATCATTGCCTCAGGCAGCCTCTCCCAGTGGCCCCTTCAGGTTCGCGCTGGAGGGACTTGGGAAGGAAGCCAAGCTCAGGTCGGCCCGACTCTTTCGCTTGGCAGGCGGGCGTGCACCCGCGGCTCGCTTTCCTGGCTCTGCCCAGCCCGCATGGCTCTGACGCGGCCCTGGCGGGATGAGCGGAGGGTCCAGCGGGGAGGCACTCGCTGCCTTGGTGAGAGTTCTGCTGCCGGGAAGGAGGGCCCGCCTGTCAACTGCGCTGGGCGCCCCAGACGAAGCTCTTCACGCTCTGCCTGGCGCCAGCCAGGGATGGCAGCTGGGTGCTTCTCCCGAGGTGGGCTGATCCTGCGCTGCGGCCCCGGGAGATTCGCCTCTCCACGTGGGGTTGGGCTGCCTTCTCGGGCAGGGGAGGCTTTGTTGTAGTAGGGCGTCGTTTTTAAAATAATTGGCTTTACCCTCAAGGCAAAGGGAAGGCGGCGACAGGAGCGCCTGAAGCCAAGTGTCTCCGCCGGACTCCAGTTGCAGGGAGGAGCCCTGGCTGGCCGCACGTGGCTGCACCAAACGCCGCAGCGTTGCTCTAAAAGCCGCGGCAGCAAGGGAGAAGGGAAAGCAACGGTGGCGGAAGGTCTCCTGATACGAAGTGCCCCACCAATGCCGAGGTCAACATCCAAGCTGTCGCCGCCCGCCCACCCGAGGTTGCAGGGGGGGGAATTAAGTCACCCCCGAAAAGACGGCCTAGCCGTTTTTTCGGGGGTCAAAAAAAAATAAGGCCCGGCCTTATTTTGTGAGAAACACAGTAGCAAAATGGATTATTTGGAAAAACTGATAAAATGTGCATATATATCTTATTCTGATTTAGAAACAAGTAACAGTCTACCATGGAGTAAAGTATACATACAAAAATGAACAGAAATGTTATAATCACAAGTTGACTCAAAACCCTCTGTTGACATAACAAGTAATTTTCCAAATTCTACTTTTACTCCAATTTAGAATGAGAGTAAAAAAAAAACTGATTTGTTTTGAATGTTGAAAGTTACATTTTCTGTGCTTCATGAATGTTTGGGTTTTCTAATCACTTATGTAAATTAAAATAATATAAAAAGATTGTTTCCCTGACCAATTTCTGGTTTATTTTATTCCCTCAGCTACTTATTCCTACATCTCTATAGATTAAAAGTTCTGATATTATGGATTAGAATTACAGTGTAATCCTAAAACAAACTGTGTTCCACACCATTTTACTCATCAAAGTCAAAAACACCATTTTAACTGCTTGGTATTATGAGTCTAACCTAAGTCATGTCACTCCGGAATCTAATATTATTTATTCCCCTAAAGTAACTTTTAATGGCACCCCTGACTAGTGTTAAGAAAACAATTCTCACACCAATGCCCTATTACCGAACCTATTTGACACAGATTGGGTGGAATTTCACACAGATTACTGCAGGTATGGCCTAATCAATATTACATATAAACTGAGAGCATCATCTCCAATGCATTTACTATGTGTTTATGCCTTCAAGCTAGTTTTTGACTCCTAATGACTGTCTGGATAAGTACGTTCCTGCCATTTTCTCAGAAAGGTGTTTTGGAAGTGGTCTGTCATTGACTTCTTCCTAGAACTGGAGGAAAGTGATTTTGCCAAGATTACCCAGCTGGCTTCGTGACTAAGGCAGCACTAATTCAGTCTCCCAGTTTTTATCCTGACAATCACTACATCAAACTTTCCCTCTTAATGTATCTATGCACCCCTATATATTCAGGATATCCTATCAGGGCAAATTACACTACATTACTGGAACAAATATTAGAACCTCCATAAGGTTTTTCTTTAAAATCAGAAATATTTAGATAACAAAAAGAGAAATGTTGGGAGTAATTTGAAATAGCTTTACCTCATTTTATCTTATGCATCTCAGAAAAGTTGCACAATTTTTTAAAAAGTTGTGGAGTTTTACTTATAAAGGGAGAATAGTTGGTTTTGGATAGTCTGCATTCAAGCATAAACATGTGTTTTCCATATTGTTGGCCCAAACAGAGAAATAAATGGGAGAATTTTTTTCAGTTATGTACCAATTCCAAATGTGGTTGTGGAAATAACACTAAATTTGTTTCATACTGACCAACATGTCTTCCCAAGAGAATACTCGAAATAGCAGTTTGGGGGAGGGGGGGAGTCTATTTGATTTAAGCTTGTGATTTATCCTTTAAGTCCCTCTTTTGGAAACTTTAAAACATTTGCTGCAATTATAAACAGTGCTTCTGAAAAGAAAAAAAACATTATTTCTGTGCATATTGTTTCTCACATTTTATATAACAAAACTAAAAATGCCAGTTATGTAATCAACCAGTCTTTGAGCTAGCTCTTCAAATCAACCATTCAATTCCATAAATAATTGTTTAAGTAAAATTATTCTAAGAATCCCACTTTCAAGTTTTTTTTATGCTTTCCAACTATTGTTGCCATTTTTTTTCTTGGAATGTGAAATCGCAAACAAACTTCTGTTACTCCATACTACATAGACCACTCAATGGAATAATTTAATATGCAATTGATTTAGCAAGTCTAGTCCATGAAACTCTATACCACATGGTCTTGAGACACAGTATAAAAATTTCTGACAATGCATCTTCTGCATAATTATAAGTTCACATTACTGGACATTTTATGAAAGCCATAAGCTGAAAACCACAATGTGAGGAGAGAGCCTTAGAAACAACTATTACTAAACTGGGATTAAGATCCTAAGACGCTCTACATCCTTTGTTCTTTAAATGAGTCCTGTGGTAAGGGATACGGGACCCTTCACCTCTCCAGGAATGATTCCAAGTTATATAGAGCAGGGGTCGCCAACCTTTTGGACCTCAGGGACCACCAAACTCATAATTTTAAATCCCGCAGACCACTAATATGAGTTTTGACTGATGGCGGCTTGTTGACTTTGGTAGGAAAGTCGGTCCCATATTCCAGAGCTGTAGTAGTCACAGGACTGGCCCTTTAGCTGCTCCTCCACCCGAGTGCACCAGCCTGCCATGGACTGGAGGAGCTGTTGGTCTTACCTTCCAGTTCCAGCTTGTGTGGCTGTATTCAAGGTAAGGTTTGCGCTCGGCAGAAGGGTGGGGGGCAGAGGGTGGGCGGGCCATGTGGGCGGCACAGCCTTGTGGTTCCCACACAGCCTGGATTAACTGCTTTGGAGTGAGTGCTCTGGGGGGCACATTTCTCTGAGGACCACCAAAATTTTCTTGCAGACCACCAGTGATTCCCTGGCCCACCGGTTGGTGACCACTGATATAGAGAATCCTTTTCCAAGAACTTCTTATTCTCATCCTTGAGAACTATACATTTCCTCAAGGGATCCATACAGGCAGCCCTTCTGAGCCAAACCCTCCTACTTTTCTGGGTTCATTCACCATATTAATACAATGGCTGGATTCACATTGTAGACTAAGCTGAAATCCGACCAATTAACCATTTTATGGTTTAATACAACACGGAAGCCTACTTTGCTGTTACAGCACAATCTTCCCCACTGCATTGCTAAGAAAGCCAAGGGCAGGCACAGCAGTTGCTCCCCCAATATATATTCTTTCACCTCTTCCCCAGTTTATCTGTTTCTCTCTTTCCTGAGCCCCCAGAAAGAATGAAAAGGAGAGCCGAAGAAGGCAGGCACAACCTCCTACATTCTTCACTGGCCTTCTTCACAAGAGCCAGTCTGAGCAGGCCAAACCCTCCTTTATCCTCAGCAGCTCAGACAAGAGCAGAGAGGATGGTTCCCACAGCGGGAACCTGTCACTTTGCTGCCCCCTGTGCAAGGCTCTTCCTTGCTCCAGGCAGGTGGATGGAAAGCCTGGAGCCAATTATGGCTTACTACCACCTCCTTCAGGGAGGCAGTTGGGGCCACTCGCCCTAGAGGCCTTGCACGGTGAGCGGCTGTTTCTTCGCCTCAGCCATGGCAAAGCATCGCAACCAAAGGGCTGGCCCGGCGCTACACTTTTGAGCCCCCCCCCCCCCCGGACTCTCACCTGCCGCGAAGTGCAAAGGGGTGGATTTCCGCCCGGCCATATCTTTGGCGTTGACGTTGGTAGCATCCACCAGGCGCCTGACCCGGGTTACGTCCCCATTGCGGCAGGCCTCGAGCAGCTCCCGAAAAGCGCCGCTTCCCACGGGCGGAGGAAGAGGCTGCAACGGCGGAGGGGGTGGGTCGGGGCTGTCGGGAGCAGCCGGGCTGGAGGCAGCAGAAGAGGAAGACGAAGACCCGGAGCTGCTGCTGCTGCTAGTGGCGGCGCTGCTGGCCCCGGAGCCCGGCGGCGGAGGCCCGGAGCTTTCGCAGGCGCTCTCTGGAGAAAAAGGCCTCTCCGTTCCCGCCGTCCCTTCCCGGCCGCTGTTGACGGGGGCCTCGCCCTCGAGTCCGGCCAGAATGGGCCGCTGCTGAGGGGAAGCTCCGGTGGGAGAAAGGTTGGGGCTGCGGGGCGGAGATACGGGCGTCTGGACCGAGTGATGACTTGGAGGATGAGCGGGGTGATGGTGATGATGCTGCTGCGAGCGACGCGACGACGATGATGCCGCCGCCATTTCCCCGCTCCGAGAGCGCTCTGGTCCTGTCACTGCGGCAACGGGGAAGGATTGCCCGCCCTCGCATCCGGCTCCGTGGAGCCAATCGTGGGACGGCGGGGGGGAAGTGACGTGAAGGCAGTGAGATGACGGAAGACGAAAGCAGAACTCTTTCCCCAGAGCGTCGGGTGTTTGCTGGCTTAGGAGCGTATTGTTTACATTGCTATGCTTTCATGGAGTCCTCAGGGGTTCCAACCTTAGCAACTTGAAAACTTGTGGACTTCAACTCCCAGAATTCCTCAGCTAAGGTTGGAGACCCCTGCACAAGACAATAGTTTGCCCCTGCTTTTTTCTGGGTTTCCCCCCCCACACCAGGTCATAATTCTAATCTAGTGTGATTAACCAGGTGTTACCCAGCATACAGTGGCGTTTGTTTTGTAAACCCTTTTGAATTTTTAATATTTCTTCATAAACATGAACTGAACACGAGAACAATTCTCCGCCCAAGTCCTAAAACTAGGTTTAAAAAAAAACAGTTGAACAAAGGAGTTCAAAACACTAGTTTATTGGTTCATTGAGGAAAATAAATTCATTTAAAATATGTTTAAAGAATCAATTCGCAGGTCTGCAGAAAAGGCGTTTTGTTTGCCTTTTTGGTTCTGCAATAAAACCTCGAAGTCTGCTTACAATAAGTGCTACAATGAAACCCGACATCTCATAAAACTGAGGCATTCACAATAGATTCAGTATCCGGGCAGAAAGTCTTAACACTGACTTAAAAGAGGCTAGGGAAGAAAACCGTTTGAATGTTTTTTGTCTGGAAAAACACCTTAAAATGTCTTTCAGACTGCGTGGCTTATAATGTTTAGTTGTGGTTACTCCCAAGTAAATGGAAGAGACTTTGTTAGGCTAGTAAGTTACTGAAATAACCACCAGGTGGCAATCTTAATGCATTTTTGAAATAAGGTTATATATTCTGAATCTTTTCTACTATTAAATATTACTTGTAAGATTTAGAAACATATTTTAAAAACCCGCAGAATTAGAACAAAGCCCATTTAATCCAACATACTTTGTTCTTCTCTGACTAACCAAATTAATTCAGGAAATTCACACATAAGGGCAAGAGGATGATACCTCTTTTTCTTCTGTGGCTGCCTTACAATTGTTTTTCTAGCGTGCTTCTTGTTATTCAGATAAAGTTTAAGTTGAGCTTGGTTCGTAGTTATTGCATGCATACATCCATGAAGTTTTCTTGGCAATAGTACCCAAGTAATTTACCATTACCTCCTGAGATAATTTTCAATTTCTCAGACCATCCTATGACCAAGGTTATACTAGTACTAGTAACTGAGTTGCTAAACTGTTTCATTAAATTAATTTTCCAAATTAACTTTCTCAATCTATTTGCAACCCACCCACCCCATTTTTCAAATCAAGCAATCAGGTAAACTGAACTAATCTGATTCTTTGAAACGAACATTTGAATTAAATCAACACAATTTTCTAAATTGAATTAATTCAAATTGGATCAGATATGTTTCACATCAGTTTAATAAATAGCCATCAAAACTAGTAGACGCCAACAATAAATCCTCTATAAATTTATCTAATTTCCCTGTATAACCATGTAACTTAGAGTCCATCAGCATGATTGTCCGCAAGAGGGGCAGTTATTTCCATATGCTATAATTTCTCATTTCCATTTTTGGAAAAAGAGCTGGTCTTTAAGCCATTTTAACAGCTGAAATGCAGGACAAAAACACACAATTTCTTTTTCCCTACTTTGGTTGATAAGAAATATTTGTTTCTGAACTTTGGGTTTTTAATCAAAGAACAGTCCTAATTGTGACTGATCTATTGAGAGAAGGAAGCTCGCAATTTATTTCTTTTTAAATCTGTATTTTTGAGAAGGGATTGTTGCCTCTGAAAAAAATAATAATTTAGAAATTCAAGGTGTAGATATTGTGGACTCAAGCAGCAATGTGTCAATCGGCTGACCAGTCTTCTAGTAATTAGAGCTACATTAATTGTAGATCTTTTGTCTAATGTTATCGGTTTTTGTTAAAATGATTAAATCTACAGCCAGGGACAACATCTGTAGTTTCTTTGTCCATTTAACTGAGTTTTTAGCAAAGGACTGTTTTCAGTTCTAATAAAAGACTACTACATCTCTCCACTTTCATGGGAGGAAAACCCTGCTTCCTTGAAAATGCTTAGTATAGGTTGAAAAACCTCCTCACCAAGGGTACTTATTGGTGGCAATTCATTCATCTCTCTACTATTAGTTAAAGTACCATAATTCCTACTTTTCCCGTTTTGGTTTGAGCCTGAAAAAGAATTTTAGCTGCTCTATGAGTTGCTCTTAAGTTTAATGAATGCACTTTTTTGGCAGTCTTGGCCTTTTTCTCAGTCTTAGACAAAAGCTCCAAAAAAGAGGAGCTGCTGTAATAAAAAGTGATCAAACTGAGCCGAAACATTTCCTCCAAATCTTTCTGGAAATGCACACAGCCCTGTTAGCTGCATGAGCCTGTAAGAAATAGAAGTAGACATAGAAAGAAACAATAGAAATATACCATTCTCTGGTAAATGTAGTCTGGATTCCCAGGGTAGAGGAGTTGCATTCCAGAAGGCAAAAAGACTTCTGAGTTTTGAAAGTTTGAGTGACAGGAAGATGGCTCCTCTCCAGCAATTCCCATCTACAGTCATGGGTGCAAATGTGTTAAGGAGTGGTTCAACCAAGAAGTAAAGAAAATTTTCTGACAATGAGAACAATCCTGGAGTAGTGAGTGCATTATCACTGGAGGTTTTCAAAAATAGACATGACATAACTCAATCTTCAGGCATAAATTGAGGTAAGGGACACCAGAGGGACTGATAGCTTTATTGGTGAACTCACAACTTCAATAGGAAAGTATTTTTCCAGAGGAGCACAGGCCCAGCCTACCCCCTAGTGATTCTGCCTAGTGATTTGGAAGGAAACTTGCAAGTACACTAAAGAAGATCAAAACATTTGCATCTATCAGATAAAATTTTATGTTTAATTGTCATAATCAGACATCTGCCTTTTTTTTAACAACAAAGAATCAGATGAACAGTTTCTTATTATATATACATCTATTCAAAAATATACTAAGAGTATATTAAAATAATTTGTTGGACAATAAATTATTTTGTTGGTGAAATATGAAAGTAAACCTTTTAATTACAACATTTCCAAAGTAATTATTATTAAAGATCTTAAAATCACTACTGTTAATATATTAGGTTTTGGAAAGTTCTGACAGTGGGTGAGAAGCGGCTCCTTGCGATGATGGTGATTCACCTCCGTTGCTGAAACAGAATAACAAAACAGAATAATGGAGTTCATGACCCCCTGCTTATGAACAAGTTCCCAGCGTCTGCCTGCTTGCCTGCTGTGTTAAATAGCCGGCTTCTGGTGCAGCCCATCAACAAGGGTGAGGCTGCCTCCCTGCAAGTAATCGGGATGACCTTCGTTGCTCCTGCCTTTTCCCTGCCCAATCTGTTCTCAGATGAGGTGCAGAAGGCAGTTCCTCCTCAACGTTAACCCTCTGCCGCTGAGTTCTTTGCCCACCTGAAGCCTCAGGGCTGCCCTGCTGCAGCTGTTCTTCAGCCAAATGACTCTCAGCCAGCTGCCTGGAGACATTGACCAACTCACCTCCTGAGGTGCCTGGGACTTTTTCCACCCTCCCCCAAGCTGGCATCTGGAGAGGTGTCAGAGGAAGCATCTGGGGAAGGAATCAAAGGCTATGATTAGTACCACATGCTTTCTATAAAAGCGCAAACACTTTGCTCTTTCTGGAGTTACTTGTAATTACCCTCTGCCCTCCCCAGGTAGCTTATTGGGCAACTTCTGATCTGAGAGGGTCATTTACTGGCACCATAGCTTTTAGCCTTGGGAAACCTTTCATAGAGTTTTCTTAATAAGGCTACTGGGGAGGTTTGCCACTTCCTTCTCTAGTGGGCCACCTTGTATCAGCACCTTCCACGCTGACCTGTCTGCCTTGGGTGGCCTTGCCCGGCATAGCTCATCGCTTCATTGAGCTGCAAAAGACTCTTTGACAGGACAAGGCAGTGCTCCATGAAGAATCTGAAATAGATACCCTTTTAGATTAAAGAAAGCCTTCCAGGTCCAGGGAATCTTCGTTGAGGCTGCTAAGATCTGCAAGTGTGGCTCCCGATTCATCCGGAGAATCCTATGAATGACAGCGATTCCTTTTTAGCCACGAGGGCAAAAGAGACCTAGAATTCCCCAAAAGAGGGACTATTGAATGGGGATGAAAAAATAGGCTTTCTATGCTTTGTCTGTTAAATCCCTGCCCGGAAGCAGAGGGTGCTGGAAAGGTGCTGGGAAGGATGGACGCGGAGAAAGGAAAGGCATAAGCCAGGTGGGCCACATCCATTTAGCACACCAGTGGGCCCTTCCCTGCTGCTTTGCGGTGAATGAACCAATTGCACCAGAGCTTGGGTGCATATAGTTTGCCTAAGTACGTTGTCCCAAGGGCCAGGTGGAGTCACCTTGCTCCAGCACCCACGGCACTCCAGCACGGTTCACTCCAGTTAGGAGAACTGAATAGAAGACCACCATCCCTCCCCAAGAGAAAAAACTTTGCCTTTCTTCTCCCACGGACTGGAAGGCTCGCTAGCATCGGAAGCCACTGCAGCCTCCTCCCAGCTTCCCTCTGGCACCTCGTCTAAAAGCATGTCCGGGGAGTCCAAGTCCTCTAGGCTGCTCCTGCTGTTCGATCTGATCAGGACGTTCATCGAATCCAGCAAATGAGAGCATCAAGGCTAAAGCCAAAGCTCTCCGCATCTCAACAGGATGGCTAATAGGCTGCATTCAGCCCCTACGTGCCAAGAGAAAGACGGCCTTTGGAAGCCTTATGCCGAGGAGGACGTATCACACAATTTCCCCCTCCCCCACCAGGACTTGTGGCATAGCCTCCATCGGCCCCATTGCCAAAACGTTCTTACCTTGGAGGACGCTTTCTCCCCGTTGAGAGAGGGGAAGGGCTCCTGTTCCACGGCT